CAGTCTCCCCTAGAACACACCACTCAGGCTCTTGTCATCTGCTGGGGATGCTCAGGCAGAGTAAAAGCATGAAGTTAATGGAGTGGTTGCACTACAAGCTCCAAGCGTCTACCCTAACCACCTACCCAAACCTGGCTTCCTCTGTAGTCAATGAAAGACTCCTCTTGGGGGGCTTTATAATATCCAAGTCAGACTTAAAATCTCTGTGTCTTTATGTAGGGTTGGCCTTTAAATTCATCTGGCAGAATCAGGTGCCTCAGCTGAACCATATACACATTCCAATGTCCCGAGCCTGTTGTAATACGGGCAACACACCATTTTTTTGTACTTGACCACTTGCTACAGGAACTTTGTGTTGCCTGAATCCATTTGAAAACAAAAAAAAGAGAAAGCAAGCTAATAGTTCCCTTCTTTCATGAGGCACAAAGAAAATTATACATTAGAATTAATACTTGCACGCACATAGGATGTGGGTTGTTCACAAAATAGGCTGGACACAATGGTTTTAAATTGTCACTGACTGCTACTTGTATATAGACAGATTCCCTGAAATGAATCACACTTTTATTGTAAAGCTGGTGTGAGACAGAATTCTGCCTCAATATATCTGGGTATCAGCATTTTGTCAGACCACGTTGAAGTCTCTGGTTAATACTGCTTAATTCTAGGAATCTGTTTGAGTTCTTTATTTTACTGTTTTACTAGTAAAGCAGCTTATACTACTTGCATCTTGAAAATTTTTTGTTGGACTTTTCTGTAGTTACAGGAACCAAAGCTGGGAAGGTTTGTAGGCTTGAGTTTAACACTGAATAACTTGGGGTTTGGTGGCAGCTTGGAGTAGGATAACTGAATGACAAGGTATTCTGCAGCTTAAAGCTTTCAGAAACACCAGATTCAGGATATGCCTAATGCCCCTGTGGCTCTGGCTCAGCTTGTCTGCATCCTGGCAGATGCATCTTACAGGCAGGAACGCAAACCAAATCCAGTGGGCTGTAAAGGTGAGCTTGCCTGGCTCCAGTTGTATGTGCTATGGGGCACTTACAGGATTATCCACTGGAGCACGCTATGTTGTTGTGTTTCATCTCTTTGATTCCCAGGAGGAGTATGGGAATGCAGAAAGGGCACCATTTTATCTTGGGAGTAGATACCAACTTTTCAAGCAGAACATATATGTATCTGTATGTTTTTCTCTAGAAGTACGATGTAATGGCATCATTTTAAAAGGTGAAATCACAGCTGAGATCTCAGTTTTAAAATGCTGAGGTCAATATTTCCTTGTAGGCTTTACATGACATCATTTTGTGTCCGCTATGGTAATGCCTTCTAATTACATAGGTATATTCTTCCTCTGCTTCTAGTGCGTAAAAGATCTTATATTTTCCTTTTAAAAAAATAAATAATTTCTGCAAGAATAGAGGCTGTTATCATTGATAATGTTACAGTAGTTTTTAAAATGTCATAATTATGCTAAATAATTTGTCAAGTGTGGCATATTACGTTTGCAACTAACTGGTTGTTTCTTGAACAAAAGTAATTATTGGAAGCTGTTCCCTCTTCATTTGCTGCTGTGGTTGCATAGGGGTGAATGCCCAGCTCGCAGGGAAAGAAAGGGAGGATACTCTGGAATGACACTCCAGAGGTGTGAGCTGTATCCCTGGTTGTGCTGTGGATCCTCTGTGATGTTGCAGTTCCTCTGTTTGCAGATGGTCATCACATTTCTCTCTCCTCTTCCAGACTTTTAACTTAAGATTGTGATTTGCAGGACTGTCAAGTACTTTTAATGGTAGCAGAATCTGTGGGAACCCTATTTTGAATGTATTAATTAGATGCTATAGCCTGGGGAACCACCCTGAACACCACCAGATTCTAGGTGTATCAAAGCAGGCCCTCAGATTAATGGGTACCTTTGATCTGAGCCTGTGTAAATGGCATACTTTTAAAAGGTTATGATGAGAGAAAATTTGGATTTTCATGACGATTGCAAAATGTATACTGGTCAGCAAAACTGCAAGACTTTAATGGCATGAAATGCTAAAGTCCTTCAGAGACAGGATCACCTCCATTATTAACATGAAAGGTATTCTTCATTTAGTCATATCTTCAAAACTATTACTGAAACACAAGCAAAAGAAATTACTTGAAAGCAGGAAATCTGGCACAGTTAATACAGATCACAGCCAAAGTTTCCCAACACTATAAATAACTAAAAATTGCCTTAGAATGTGAATCATTTGAATAATGAACAGTGTTACCAGCTCTATGGATAATAAAAGCAATTAATATGCAAGATAAACATAAACTGTAGATCATCTAAGAAAATTTTATCCATGGAGGACACCCAACCTTCAGTAGCTTTCAACTCTCTCCTTCCTTGTATAAATTACTGACTTTTTCCTTTTTCAAGGTTGGAGAAGGATCATTATTGTTCTGTCCATTATTATTCTGTCACTTGTTACTTCTACTGATGAGAAACATACTGCTCAGGCGCTGAATGCTCCTTTAACTGGGGAACTGACTACTGTGTTGCTCAGGTACACCTGAACTGCTTAGGAACCCTCTTCACAGAGTGTTGTCTTCATGTAGATTTTGTTGACCAGTGGCAAGAGAGTCCTTGATAACTGTGCTGCTGTGCAACATGGCCTTTGGGAACGCTGCCTCGTTTGGTTTGCAAGAACATACGTTAGCAACTGTACAGAAGCTGTGTGGAAAACTGTCGTCAGTTCTGACAAGTGGACCTAACAGATCAGAAGGGTTAAAAAACCACGTGTCATTAGCCATGAAAATGAGTTCATATTCTGAATTTTCATTTAGAGTCTCTGCGCTAATTATTCCTTTGACAGCAGTAGCCATTAAAAATATTGCTCCTCTTCTAATGATACAGAAAAGGAAAGACAAAGCGTTTGAAATGTCAAATATTAAAAATTGTTTTGATTTTACTATCTTTATTCCCCATATCTGAAGAGCTCTTTTATTAAATAAGCATGAACGCTGTTCAGCAACTTCATAAGGACTGCTTTGTTCTAAGGAAAAAGCAGCTAGAGAGAAGAGACAGATACATGGCTGCTGCTTCCTATCTGAGAGGCACGCAGATGAAGGCAGGCAGTGCAGCTCCTGTCTCTGGCATAGGCTTGTGTCTTACAGCTTTGCTGCTGAAAAACATCAGGGCCTGATGCTGATCAACCTGGCAAACCTGTACCAGCATCAGTCTTGTCCTTGCTTTCAGCTCCTGCCACCCTGTCAACAGCAGCGAATGATGCCGGCCTGGCTGGCTAAAGCAGACTGATCATACGGCTCAGGGAGAAGTGTGACTTCATACTGCCGTGCAAAAAGAAAACCATAGATCAGAGCTGTATTACACAAACATGAGGAAACCCCAGTTGTGAAGAGAGAAGTGGGGCTTTCCACATTTTTGGAAGGGGAAAGGTGCCCTGTTAGCTTTGTGAAATCTCGGAGTTTGTTTTTTGTTTTCACAGGCAGTTGAAGCGAAAAGGATCTGATGTTAGCAACAGAGCGCTGGTAAGGCCATTAGAGAAGTGGAGGGAATCAGAGTGGAAATACATGCTTCTTTTCTTGAAACAGAAAATCTGAGGAAAGATCAACCCTGTAATACAAGCCACGTACATGAATACCAATTATGTAGATACAAGTTTGGGAACATCTCTATCTACTGGTTTAGCATGCCATTATACCAAAAATAGTTCTTGAGAATGTTTTTGTGGACATAGTGATAAAGTGTAAAGCTCAAATTTATGAAATGGTGTAAAATGCATACCTAAGAACTTCTGTAGTAGTCATCATGGTCTTTTTTTCACCGAATTGTCTGAGAACAAGTGACCTATATGCATCAATGTTCTGATTAATCCTGCTTAAAACTTCAGCTTTAGCCCAGCTGTCATCACAGCTTTACCTGAGGTATATGTGACACTAAACATTCCAGACTCAGGGCATTCTGAGGACTCTATTTTCTGTTTTATCACTGGAGGAGCACATTAATGCAGTGTAAGACAGAAGCATTCACAGAACAGCAGTAAAGAATGGGAAGCAAACAGGAATGATACAATAGTTTGGTAGTTGTTTTGGGTTGTAGTTGTTTGTTCTGGAAACAGCAAACCTTGTTTCTCCTCAGGTACTGTAGGTAATTAATTGCTAGTTTTGTTTTGTACTGGCAGGACCAATACCGGTTAAAAGCTCTGTTTCAGGCTGCATTTGTTTCTCCATGCCTTCAGAGTCAGCATCAAGGTAAGAGAGGTTTCAAAGTTTTGGCCTTTATTTTCACACGCATTGAGTCTTAAAATATCTGTGATGGCAACACAACCCTTTGTTATGTCTAACATTAGGGATTAGTCCAGACTGAGTGGTTCTTACAATTTACTTTTCACCCTCTGTAAAACTCGGCTTTCCCTTTTTACTTCCTTCTGAACTTAGTTCTTTTGGAAAAGTGTAACAAATTTTCCAGTGTCCTAAGCCCCTAATCTGAAGTGTAGGTATGCTTAAGATCAAGCCTTATCTGCAAGTAAAAAAACCATTTTGTAATTCTAACATGACGTGCTTATTTTTGTCTACATAATCATAAAATTATATTGTTACCATTCTAGGTAAACAATTATAAGCTGCCTCTGAAAAATGTAGAAGTTTTCTTCCTAGGTAGGTTTTTATTTACTTTTTCCTTCACTTCCTTTGAAAACAAACAAACAAAATACACTGGAAGGATTATGTCTCGTAAGATTCTATATTGAACCTTACTCCAAACACTGTTAGAAGTTAATAGCAAGACCTTTTATTAGATCTTTTTTCTTCCCATAATGTAGTGAAAACAAAAAACCCCTCAATGAAAATACATGTTATTAAGGAAACAATGGCTTTGTAGTTCAGTGTCTATCTTGCATCAGCAGCCCTTTAGGAGGGCTCCATGAACATACTCTGAGTCTGCTGTAGTACCTCTTTGATCAGACGCACTACAAGTCAGTACACAAATAAATACACGTTATTGTAAGTCAGGAACAAGTGCTCACTCCGAGTTTTTATTAAAATCAAACACAGGGAAGTATTCAAACATACTTCTGGTTGAGAATCTAGACAGCTACTATGTTTTCAGAATCATCTGGTTTTACAGTATTCCAGAATCTCAGTTAACCCATTTGAATGTACATTCACGGAACATGAAAGTGAGCAAGCGCTTTGTTATTCAGCCAACAACCACCATATCATCACCAAGAAACTGGTAAGTCGGAACCTCAAGGTTATAGGGAGCAGGACCTTTCCTGATTCTGCCAGAGGCATCGTAATGGGAGCCATGGCAAGGGCAGTAATAACCACCAAAATCTCCAGAGTTAGCAATGGGTACGCAACCAAGATGAGTGCAGACACCTACTAATATGACCCATTCTGGTTTCTTTACTCTGTCTAAGTCATGCTGCGGATCCCTCAGTTTAGATAAATCAACTTCAGCTTCCTGATTAATCTCTGCCTGGGTTCTGTGACGCACAAAAAGGGGCTTCCCTCTCCACTTGAAAGCCATGTTCTTGCCTTCTGGAATGTCAGATAACTTGATCTCGATCTTTGACAATGCTAGCACATCAGCAGAGGCACTCAGGCTGGAAATAAACTGGGTGACAACATTCTTAGCAGCATATGCAGTTGCTACGCATGTCGTTGCAGTCACCAGGTAGGAAAACCCTTTTCTGGCTTCACTGCTGCCTTGAGAAGATGTGGTGGCATCTAGCACATCTTGACGACGATAGGCAGAGAAGTCAGGTACTGTGACATCATTATGGACGCAACGAACACTGGCAGGTGCTGCAAGAAAAAAAAACATGAAATGACAACACTTTCAAGTAAAAAATATTATGATGTATTTTAAGTTACACTTTTAAAATTGCATTTTTGGAACAAGGGGTAAAAGTTATTCCAAGTCTGGGTAGGATTCTGCTACGTTTCAATTTTAAGTTGTAGGAAAATGGTTTCCAAAAGGTATTTTTTGTAGATGAACAGGTTATCTGTGAAACCTTGTTCTTTGAAAATTACATGAAGCCTGATAAGGGCGCAGAAAAATCTGTGAGAAGTTCTGGGTTTAAAGTGAAGTGTTTTTTTCAGAAGATTTCAAGGAAATCATCTTCAGGATACCATGACTAGCTAAGACAAGACCTGTTTTCCATTCAGATGTTTCCCTGAAAACAATTGCTATCAGAAAATTTGTTTTTAGTACAGTTTGCACATCTGTAGCTTAACGCTTTTGTGCCTTCCTTGGACTTAAATACTTTCTATGCCTTTAATAATCTTAAGTGTGTGGTTAAGCATGTTTAAGATTAAAAACACAGTATCAGGCATTTCCTCTTTAAACTGCTGTCAAAGCTAAATGCCCCAGTCAATAATTTTTCAACCCACTATCCCCTATTTGCCAGGCTCACTTCACAGAAGGATTTAGGGCTAAAGCTAGTAACTATCTAATTCCTAAGCTTTTCAAGTGGGATTCCCATGTGAAACCTGTGTGCTAAACTAACAAGATGTGACGGCTAACTAAGAGGCCTCCCATTAGTTTGTCCAGCAAAAGAAGGTTGCTTCCCTCAATGCAAATCTGTAAGCCAAAGAAAAGAACATGCCAAAGACAGAAAATATTACTTGCCAAAGCGCAACCTCTGTTATTTGACAAGAACTATTTAGTCTTTATTTTTTTCTAGCATTTGGCCTAAAGTTAATGGAGGTTAATTAAAAACCATTCTCTCAAAGTACTTACAATTAATCTCAGAGATTTATATGCAATATAATGGGGAAAATATATACATTTATTTACAAGTAACTCAGCATAAAGAAGATATTTGCTGTACCATTTTAACTGCATAAAAATTAAACTGAAATTCAAAGTTCTGAGAGAGTAAACCATACTAACTTATTTCAGCATCAAGACTTAAAATAATTCACATTATTTCACAAGCAATACTATTAACTTCTAAAAATTCCATATATAAAGTGAAAAGCATGCTTGATGTTAATTAAAACTAAGAATTGGACTACATGTCAGCTACGTTGGTTAGAGATTTGTAGGATTTTCACCTGAACCTATCCTTTACAGTTGAGGGTCAGGTGAAGTACGTAGTTCTAATCACAACAGTGCACCTTCCACAAGGCACTGCCATCTCTAAGGCTTACATGAATACCCTCTGTAATGGTATGAGGCAAACTGTCACTACGTGCCCAGCATCAGCACGTAAGGACCACAGTTCTCCATGAAATGCAAATCAGCCTGTTCCATGGAGAAGCACTGCCCTTTGCCCGGGAGTCAGGTTCTGCAGGAACAACCTGGGACTAACTGTACCTGGCTGATGCTTTTCCGAACACTGCATGAACTGGGAATACAGGAATTCCAAAGAAGGAAACAGTGATGGTTTTGACATCATTAATTCACTGTTAGAACTGGTTTTCTGCACCAGCAATGCACAAAGTGTGTTCTCACTGCACATCTCCGCTTTGATGCCCCTCAGTTAAATAACATATTGAACTACACAGAAATTTCCTGCATCTTCCCAAACGCAAAATTAATATCCACCTGAGAGTCATAAAAAGGAAGCAAGCTTTGAAGTGCTCTTAATATAGTCATAAAGGTGTGTTACTGTATCAATGACAACTTGGAAGCAAATACATATACATATTTTTTTTTTTTTTTTCAACAAAGCACAAGCCAGAGCCTCTCAACTAGCTGACGCCTCTGCTTCCCCTCGCCTGCCAGGCCGGACCCCGAGTGCTGAGGACACCTCGCCAGCGGCTGCGGTGAGTCCCCTGTACCCCCCCATCTCCCGGGCGCAGGCCGAGCGGTGACCGCGGAGCGCTGGCG